TTTTCTGCTTCATCTTATTTCTGTTTCTGTTTATTAACCTTATAAATACAGGTTATTGTAAGTATAACAATCTTATAACAATTTTTGATCTTGTCAAACACTTTCTAACTTATTTAAAGTTATTTTTAATATTTGTCAAACATTTTCAGAAATCAAAAAGTAAGTTGAAAATAGATTTGATCAACTTTTAAGATAATTCAATCGAGCTTTTACCTTCGTAATTACCTTTTTAGTCATATAATCTCTCTCTTTGGTAATTTTATTAGAAATCCTAGTAACTTTAAGTTATTTTAATTTATTCAAAATATAATCAATCATAACATATATATTTTTTAGTAAGCACATCATCATCATTTTTTTCCTAAAAATTTTGGAGACCTTTTTCTTCTAATTTGCTATAACTTATATATGTGCGCTTACTTTCTTTATTTTATTTTATTTCTAACAATTACTTTAATTTATTTATCACTTATACAAAACGGAACCAAATTAAAGTTGTTTTTTCACTAATTAAAGCAACGGCATCGAAGTGAAATATAGTGAAATGACATGATAAGCATGTAATAAAAGATTTTACAAGCAAGTTTAATATATGACAAGTGTCTCTCAATATTAATTATTAGTCTCACCACTAATTACATCTAAAGTTTGAAACTTTAACGAACCATATATGTTGCCTGCGATATTTAGGCTTTAAGATCATATCCACCACAGATCACAATCTATTTAATTTTAGCAATTCATCATTAAGTTAAAGTGTCATTGCAAAGTCCCAAATACTGATTTAATTTGTTTATTTTATTTTAATTTGATATGAAATTTGTAAAAATAAAAAGACTTCCTGAAAATTATAATTTTTAAACTAAACAAATCAAACTGCCATTTGATTTTATGACATTACACATTTCATGTCGCATGAAATAGATATTTTTTTAGTATATAAAAAAAAAGTAAAGTAAGACAAATATAGAGTTAATATCTCAGAGGTCACTTGACTTTGAGTGGTTAACTCAGAAAGTAACTCAACTTTGAGTTGTTTACTTAGAAAATCACTTAACTTTGTTTTATAACTCAAAAGTCACTGAACTATTGATGTTTCACTTAAAAAGTCATCCAACTATTTATATTTCACTAAAAAAGTCACTCAATTAATTTTTTTAAAAAAATTATTAAGTTTATCATAAACTAATTTTTTTAAAAATAATAAGATATCAATTTTAACTATCTTTATCTACTCTGATTATTCTAATTATAATTTTTCTTAAAAAAAACGTAGATGAGTAACTGACCCCCAAAAATAAAAACTTTTACGTTCCTGTAATTGTAAAATTAGAATTAAATTGTTAAAATATTATCAAATTGGAATTGATAATAAGTAATAAAAAAAACAAAAAATTAGTAAACTAGTCAAAATAAATAACATATTTAGTAAAAATATCCATATTTTATAAATATTAGCAATAATGTCAAAAATGTCATTATTTTTAAAAATTTATGTGTCTCAATTTTCTTCCTATTTTATCTCTCTTTTTCAATTAATTCTATATATCCTTTTTTTCAAAAAAAAATTATTTCTCTCTCATATTTATCTTTTCAAATTGTTAATTCTCTCTCCCATTTAATTTTTTTCTCTCTTATGGTTATCTTTTCTGATTTTCCTCCAACATTTGCAAATATTTTTTTGCCATATATTTTGGTTGTTTTTTTAATTCAAAATTGAATCAACAAGAATCCGATG